CTTCTACTACCGGCCTCAGCCTACATCAGATGATCAGCGCCGGTATACTTAATCTCTCCGGTCTGAATGCAAGTAGGGAATTTGCAGCCTACGTACAACATTGAAGCAGGATGGATCAGGATACAGTGAAGCTTGTCCGGAAATCAGTTGCGATGTGTGTGTTACGGTGCATGGAAAGTAAGTGATATAGGCATAGTGGCAAAGCAGAGAGTTTTTTAGTCTCTCCCTCAAGTTCATTTTTGAGTCCTATAAGTCAACCAGTAAAGTATCCTGGATACCAGCATTATCATACTACATACTTGAGAAATTGGTTCAAATCTTGAGTAAATGAGGAAATTAAAAATGAACTGATTCTAAAGAAGCTCTGGTTTGCCACTATGGATATGGGTACTATCAAAGTTGCTGGCAGGCTTCAGCACTTTCTTATTAAAAATTACCAGCAACGGATCTTGAAAATGGCTGGTGATGCTTTGGGCTAAAAATCCATATCATGGTGACACTGCTTGGTGCTGGCACCCTGGTGCCAAGAGTCTCTGGCACAGCCGCTCAGCTCAGCAGCTGTTGCACTTGTTGCTGAATATGATGATTCTGATCTACCTGCCTCTGCAGGCCTAAAAAATTACTGCAACTGATATTGAGATCTCGGTGTTGTTCTTCACTCCGGTACCCAGGGTGCAGAGGGTGCAAGCAGTGTCACCAAGATATGGTTTTTCAACCAACAGCGTTGCCGGCCATTTTCAAGATCTGTCTCCAGGTAATATTTAATAAGAAAGTGCTGCAAGCAGCTTTGATAGTATATATATCCTTTACTATCAATGCACCAAAACACTTACACACAACATAACTGATTTCCAGACAAGCTTCAATGCATCCTGATCCTTCTGGCTTACTGGAAATCTTACTGTGTGCGCTTGCAATTCTTCAAATTTCCAGTAACTTTGAAGTTATTTCTCATATGCAATAATTTCAATATAAATGTGTTGGCAAGATCTTCAGAATGTGTAAATCTTGCCTCTGATGTGTCTCCCAAGATCTTGTGATATTCACCCACTTTCTGCGCAGTGGTCTGTTACTAGGATGTGGTGTCTGATGTGGTAATTATTGGGACTGCCCTATTGTTTCTCTGATCAGGTTGGAAAAAGTCATACTTTTTTCTGGAATGTCGCAGCTCTAATATCATATAATTTCAGCAGGTATGAAATCTTGCAGTTGCAGCTCTATTGTCATGTATTTTTGTTTGATTGTAAAAATCGGGATTTGCACTTTGCAAATATGTTGTTTAATGAAATTTTCAACTTCCACAATCCACATTACTTCAAAGCTCCTACTAAAATATCCTGCAGAACGTAATAACTACAAGTCAACCCAAAATGTTTCCTTGAAGATTGCGTGGTTGTGGTCACGTCAGAGCAGTCAGACTCTGACAGTTTACAAATGACAAATGTTTAGTTGCCACTTAGGTGAAGACAAATGTTAGTGTTGCTGTACAATCGGACTGTTTTTAGGATAAAATTAGATATTTGGAGTAACGCGTGCATGCAACTTTGTAAATAAGTTTGCGGCTTGTAAATTGCTTTTCATGGCCGAAATATGGAATTCACGGCTCAAAAAATCCAGTCAAAGCTTGCCAAGTACCGTAAAATGGGGTAACTTAGACCACTTTTTTTCTTATAAATGATGCCATTTTCTTACTAGCTAAATTAAACTTGAATTGAAACATGCAAAATACAGGTCTATACTCTAGCTTCACTCACCATAAATTGCTGGCTCCTGCCTCTCATATGTCTATGTTACCCCGTCAGGGCTGATATTAGGTGGTCTAAGTTACCCCATTTGGGGGCAGCGCCCCCCATTTGCAAACTATGACACTTTCCTAAAATTTGTCATTTGCATATGTAACTAGAAGAGTTCTACTAAAATGCATCAAAACCTGGAGTTATTTAACCAAAAAATAAAAAAATTGGAGGGGGTCCTCTGACAGGCTTTAAATAATAGCTTTTTTTCGTGGGTCACATTTTTAATTTTTCAACCTATTAGATATGCAAACTTTTTAAATCTTTCTATTGTATTATGTAGCCTCAGTATTAGGCCTTTAATGCCCATTGACAAAATTTTTCTATGTCAAATAGTTTCTGAGTTGTGGGGGTTTTTGTAAAGAAAACGAAAAGTGGTCTAAGTTACCCCGCCGGTCTAAGTTACCCCATTTTACGGTAGATATATTCCATGCCTGCCTCTGAGTACCGGTATGATAAATGTACCCTTCCCAAAACAGAGTTTTTTTTCAACAGATTCATTCTTTCTGAAGTTTCGAGTTTGCAAGTAGAATCTATCTGGTGTTCTGACTTCCAAGGATGAAGTTTCTGAGTCCCATCTCCCTTCAACATCACTTCCTAGCTCCCACCTGCAGGCTGAGTCTTAGGTGATGAAACTGACAGTTATCTTGTTTGCAAGCTATATTTTTTATAGTATTCCAGCACAACAATGGGTGAAGATATGGCAGTATTTCCCATACCTTTATGTATTTTTTCTTCCAAATGGTGAAAATTTGTGAGAAATCTTGAGGTGCAGATATCTACAGCAACAGCTCAATCCTTTATTCTCCCAATCGCAATTTTCCTGTAGATACCTCCTGCAGATGCGTTTGTTACCAGGTGAAAAAGCAGCTGAGACATTTATATGACCTGTGGAAGTGAGGGTGATCCCAACCACTCTATTATCGCCCAGACATTGGGGTCCCGTTCCACAAAACACATGCTTCAAACCTTCTTCCTGCCTTCAGTCTCTCATTGGCTGGAGAAGGGGTCCCTCTCCCTGTCTCCTACTCCATTGCCCTCTGCACCCTACGCAACTCTGTTGTCTCCTACCTGACTTTAGCCGCTAGCTCCCAGGAAGGTGTTGCTGATCCCTGTCTCTTTCCATCTCATCCAGCAAGCAATCTCCCCAGAGAGTACAGAAGTGCCCTCTCCCAGCTCTGGTACAGCTACTCATCACAACTCAACTTGTACCTTGTCTGCATTGGAGCAGCAAATAGCCCTCTCCAACCTGAGTTCAGCCTAATAGAACACACTACCCATCACTTCTTTAACTGCCCATTGCATCCCACCTCACTATACCCACTGGACCTCTGTGCAAACCCTGGACTGACTGCAGCATTCTTCTCTTCACTCTCGTCCTTCTTCAACATCCTTGGAGTAGATCCACTTCTCCCTCCTCCTCCGGAGCTGCTGCCTTTCTGAGGCGCCACCAGGTAGCAGGCCTGGGCAACTAACAACAACATTATTGCAAAACAAGCCATTGAGAATGTCCCTGTGCAGAGGGTTTTGGGGATTCTTTTTGATATATACTCCAAAGCTGATGTCAGGCAGCACCATGAAGCAGCACCAGCACCATTATGTATTTCTACCTGAACCTGAGGACATGGGTTCATGGACTAAGTGTGTGACATTTAAGTAAAACACCATCTGTGTAGAGAACTTATCTTGATACGGGGTGGTATTACGCTAGTTATATTAGCTGTATGAGGCTAAAATGTTGACTGTTATGTCATTGTAACTCTAATGCAAGTTGCATTGCACTATTGCAGCCTACTTGTCAGCTATGGTACTTGGGGCTTTACTAAGGTCCCTTTAAAGAATCACCGCCTCCACCATCTACTGTGTTTTGATTGCATGATCTGTTGCATGATATTGTCCATGCTGACTCAGTCTAGTACTTTTCCATCAATCTATACCTCGTCTAGTGAATATTACTTCTAACTTACAGATAATCTAATTTTTCTGGCACACATTTCCCACCTGAAGAATGAGTATTTGAACTTTTTGTATTTGAATGAGTGTATTTGAACTTTTCTTACAAGGAATAAGGTCGCTAATGCTAAGGAATTCATTGATCTGAATTGTAATGTGCTGAAACTTTCAAGTGACAAGTTTGTGCCAGTTATTTCACTTTGAACATGTTATGTGGTTTCATTTGCATTAATTTCATTAGGCTCTTCTGAAATCTCAGCTTTTAATTTACTACTCCTTATGAATTTCAACATTTCTTGAAATGCTCTTAATATTCTTGAACCAACTTTTGCTGTATAATGTTTGCACATCTGTTTTACCTGTTGAGAGGTTCATTTATGTTCTCAAAAGCTTCAAATTCAGACAATTCTTTGACTTCGTAGTTACCAACTCATTATTTTGCAACTAGGTATTTACAATAATAATAATATAATTTTTTGATAGTTACCTTATAATAATAATAATAATAATAATAATATTAATTTTTTTGATAGTTAGCTGCAAGTATAGCCAGATATATAAGTGAAATTTAGTAAAAAACTAATAACATTTTAACCATTTTGCCTGGGTTTTTTAATAAAACCTTTGTGGGTAGGGTAATTTAAAAAGAAAAATCTGGGCAAATGAGACATTTATAAAAACAGTTCATTTTTAAGTCTGTGATTTAGTTCAACATTACATTTATTATTTGTTTGATTAGCAGTTGATGTCCCTGGCAATCATTTTGCACAGGCACTGTTGATTTTAGCTCATTCAATTGAAAATATCTTCTTGACAGTTTTCCAGCTTCGGCAAAAAATTGTTAAATAAACAAGAAAATTTGCTCTGAATGCAGCAGATATGTCCTGCTTCTGCTTGTTAGTTAGAATAGATCAAGACCAGAGCATTGCCAATTGTGCCAATCTGTGAAATATGACCATTTCTGTTGAAATGTTGGTATTTTTACACCAGATTCTGAAATTCAGATTGCTGTCAATGTGTAATAGCATGTCCAATAATTATCAAGTGAATAGTAATTAGCTCTGTATTGACTGGTTTCCATTATCCTCATCAACCAGTATCCAACTTTGACCTTTATAGTATTTAGTGCTGCTGTCTGTATTGAATAGCCACCACTGGCCAGAAAAAAATGCCATCTTATTAACCATATGTGAAGTGGCTAATGGAGTTTGTTGAAATAAAATATGCTAAAAAATTGAAGTGAAACATTTTTCCAGGCATATTTTGTGAAGAACCATCTTCCCCTTATGGGAAATTGTGATTATTATAAATGTGAATTTCTTTAATTTTTGATGGTACACATTTTGAGTAAATCATTGAAAAATGTTGGCCAGTGAAGATGAAGCAGGCTTGGATTTCTCTTACCTTAATGAAATCTCCAGTTTGAACAAAACAAAACCAACCCCAACGGTGAGTTTTATTGTGAATAATTAACACGTTTCCTTATTTTAGGAAATTTATGTATTACATCATTATTTATAGCTTCATGTGATGTCCCAGTTGAGAAACCTGCACTTCATGCACTTTTTCTTTTTGAATTGTTTAACTAAATGTTTTGGATGGTTGGTTCATGCCAAATATCTTTCCTTAAACTTGGTGAGTTGTATTAGTATTATCGTTAAAGAAGTGAGAGAATTAGAAATTCTCTTTTTTCATAGCTTACTACATATGTATCTTTACTAAATTGAACCGGGATTTCTAATTGTATTGTTAGGGGCCACATGCTGGTATATAAACTATTTAGTAATTGTTAATTAAATGTTGAATATTTGTTAACATTCAATGTTTGTTAGCATAAACTTGATGATGAATTGTATTACAGTCAAGAGCCAGCACCTCATGCCGGAAGGAGGTGCGCTCACTGCCCTGCAAGGATGCTGTCCAAGCTGTCCTCGAGAAGAAGAGGAAGGCAGAGCAGCAAGAGGCTGAAGAGTTCAGGAAAAACAGAGAAGTGGGCTAATGTTTCTGAATATTTGTAGGTGAAAGAGAAATCTTGTGTAATATTTACTTTCAGGCATTGTAATATAAATGAAAAAATTTAAGAGTCTTACCTTATTATTAAACTCAATACTATAATATTTTTAACTCTAACCACTGAATAGCTTTGTGTTATGTGTGTATTCATTATAAAAGTTCATATATATTTTAGTTGAATTTTAATCATCAGTTTTCACACCTGATTCAAGCACTTGGTTGCTGGTGTGGAAAGTGTTCTTGGTGGCCCAGGTACATTTTATTAAAATTTATACCTTTTGCAGAAGTTACTGGAGCTGCGGTCACTTGACAAGAAGGCAAACAAGCGTGTCAAAGCCATGATCACTCGAACCAAGGGCTTCAATAAGTCAGTTCTTGAAGAGGCTAAAGTAAGTAACAGGCATTGCAGTGATGCTCTCTCATTGAGGGCTTCAAATCCATTATCCAGACAGACAATTAAAGTCACAGTCTCTTTGGCTATGCTTTCTCGCTTCATAGCACCAAGCATGCCTTTCTAGCACCTTTTCTCATTTATGGAAAAAATGCCCTATTGTGCTCGTCATGTCCATCCGTCCGTCTGTCTGTGACTTCACGCTTTTGTCGACGAGAAAATGCGCTTTATGTCACTCAAAGCAGTGAGTACTGAGTTATATTTTTTTACTGTTTAATTGTTTAATTAGATGTGAAGGAAATTTTTCCCAACCTCGTATTTAGCAAGACTCGTTGCAGGACTTGACCACAGCTCGAGGCGAGCAGCAATGCGATGAGGATGACTACGGCTACGAGTCCACGATGAGTCAGCAGATTTTTGACAAGCTCACCACCCAGTACAGTGAAATGCCTGAGGATGAACGCCTCAAATTCAAGAAAGTTAAGGCTGACAACATTGCTGATGTAAAGGTAAATTGCACTCTAGTCTACACTTCTTCCAGTAGAATAAGTTCCTATGAAAACGCCAGTTAAGTAGAGTCGATTTATTGTGTATCAATGTCACTTTTAATGTTGAGGATGTATATCGAAGTTTAAGATTGTCTTCATAACCACAAAACTTGCTTTCAACATTTTTTGATTGAAGAGAAACTTGACGTGTGCTTGATTGTCATCTATTTCATAAAGATTGAAGAGCCTTATCAGTGTTCTGTCTAGATATCATTGGTACGGGTTACACTCTTGTTTAGGTGCCGTTAGTATGGGTTACACTTTGGTCAAGTTGTCTATACGTAACTCATTAGTGTAGGTAAATATCGCTGGTTCACCGTTTGTTAAGAATTTCTTTGTTTCAGGTATTGTTAGGATGTTTTATTATAGCTCTGATACACTTGGGATATGTTCCAGATCTAAAATATGTTTATTGCTCATATCTTTGGCATGGCCATCAACATTACTGCAGCATGATCTTGCCTGAGCGTTGTTTTGGCGCGTCATGAGATCGTTGCAGAAGAGGGAAGACCCAAGCACATGGTCTTCCAGATTTATTACTTTTTAACAATCTTAATTGTCTTTCAGTGATCGTGGTCATAATTACATAAGCCTACATGAGATGTTTTGTTGCCAGAGTCGCGTCATGAGCTCATTGAAGAAGCAGGAGGAGGACGAGCAAGGCCCTCGGAAGCGCAAGCGTAAAAACGCGCCAGACGCAGACGATTTCATCAACGACGGCGACCCGTACGACAAACAGGCGGGCGGCTCCCAGGACAAGAAGGACAAGACCGAGCACAAATTGCCCGTCAACTTGAATCTCACCAACTACCAAACCAAGGACAATGAGAACTTCAAGTATGATTACGAGAAGAAGAAACGCGAGGAGAAAGAGAGAGTGGATAAGGAGAATGAACGAGAAGAGAAACGCAAGAAAAGGAAACTTGCAGCTAATCAGCCGCCGGCACTTGGCTTTGCTGAGCTTATGAAGCTGGCGGCCACTAAACTGAAGGACACGGGAACCAAGAAGGGGGAAGACTTGGCCAAAGAAGAACTCAAGGAACGAGAGGCCCTGGTTAAGAAGAAACTAAGTGAGCGCCCCCTCACGGCTCAGGAGAAGGCGCAGCAGGAGGACGATAGACTTAGAAAACTGCGCAGACTTGGTAAGCTACCAAACCTGCCCATTGAAAAGCTCAGAGAAATTGAAGAGCGCAGGAAGAACAAAAATGAAGCAAACTCTTCAAAGACGGAGGAAAATATGAAAAATGACAAGGAAACCAATGATAAAGATGCCAAATCTTTACCTAAGAAAGAGATTGATAAAAATAACAAGAAGGTTGAGCCCAAGCCTGAGGTGAAGGTTAGAGATCGCTCCAAATATTTTGCTATTCCTGGGGCTACAAAGCCTTCCGTTTCTTCTTCGACTTCCACGTTCAAAAGCAACAATGAATTGAGTTCCTCCACCAAGGTGCCTGAAACTAAAAACTTGAAACCTCTCACGCACAAACCCCCTGACGTCAAGCCCTCCAAACTCCCTGATCCCAAAGCCAAGTTCGTTGATCATAGAAGCAAAGTCCCGGATGTGAGTAGAGATAAAATGAACGGTCCTTCTTCTAGCAAGTACAAAACCCCAGACTCTAAAGCCAGACCGCCAAGCGGGTCCTCCAGCGGCAAAAACCTTCCTCCAACAAAGTCCAATTCATTATCGCGACCGCCCGTACAGCCGACGTCTAGCGGCTTGTCTCGCCCCGCAATGCCAAACAAGTCGCGGCAGTTCCCTCCTGCAGACATGAAGCCTCTCAAGAAGCCCAGTGGAGGACGCTATGGCCGCGTGGACAGCGAAGACGAGGACAGCGAGTATGACAGTGAGATGGACGACTTCATTGACGACGGCGAGCCCGAGCTTGACTACTCCAGCGAGATCAGCAAGATGTTTAGATATGATCGCTCTAAGTTCAAGTGAGTACCATTTTCCTTAACTACAATTGGTGTGTTCAGGGTTTTGTCTTCAAGTTTGCGTTATGGTATCTTAGAAATCAGTAGAATTTTAAATTAATGCTCAGCCGTAGGTAGGTATACTCCTTTCTGCTTTTTGGTAAATATACTTTCGAAGCTAAAGCATAGTTGTCAATTTTGTGTCTATAAATCATAATGTGGCTTCATCTGAATTGCTGTCTCAAGTTAAATTTACTGACGATGTTTCTGTTCATTGTAGTCAATGTTACATAAGATAAACTAATCTTGCCTTTGGTTTTTATCTCTCATATCTAAAGCATAATTGTTTTACTGTGGCCATAATGAAAAGTTAGTTTCGAAAGCAAATTGCCACATTGTAGGCATCTAGGTACTTTATTATTACTATTATATATATATAATTTTGACTTGTTTAACCTTCCGTTATTTAGGCCAGCTTATGAGATTGGTTCAGAGAACAAACTGTAGCAAAGTTATCATTTATATATCATATGACTCATGTAAATGGTGTGACAGGGACGAGCCGGACGACGTGGACGACATGGAGGTGGGCTTCAGCCAGGTAGAGAAGGAGGAGATGAGGTCGGCCAAGATTGGCTTGCTCGAGGATCTCGAGGACATGAAACAAGAAGAAGCTGAGAAGAAAAGAAAGATGTTATTGAAGAAGAAAATGATGAAAAGCAAGAGATAACCGGCATTGCTTATTATTTTAGGACAATTTTCTGAAACATGCTTCGCTTTTGTATTTACAATTTTTTATGAAAATTTGTTATCAATTGTGCTAAGTATTTGTAGATATGTATTTTGTGATCCACGCATTTTGGATCGATTTTCTTGCTATTTCTTGTGTTAGAATGCCATGTGTTTAACATTTTTTATTCTTTCAAATGCTGTATTTCTTTCTTATTTCGTCTTCTAAAACTAGAAGTTTAAAATATTTAAATGCCGTCTTGCATCTTTTCGAGTATTTACGCTACCACTGCATGGACATGACGGACGATGTTGATGGCACTACCACTGCATGGACATGACGGACGATGTTGATGGCACTACCACTGCATGGACATGACGCTACCACTGCATGGACATGACGCTACCACTGCCTGGACATGACGTAACGATGTTGACAGCCTCAATTGTTAACAAATTAGACGTCAAGTTCTGTGTGGTGTTGAACATTTAGGCTTTTGTTGCTTATGTAATTCATGTTTAAAACTGAATTGATGTCTCACAAAATTTTGCGTGCTTTTTTATGTTATTAAATAAATTTTCATTGTGGCACTTTGCCTTCATTGAAGGTCTTGTTATCGTTTGAAATTATCGTCCGATAAGTTATCTGTAATTTTTCTTTCATTTGAATGCGCTTCTATGAAGGGAAACTTACTTAATTCCTGCCATTATTGCGGTACTCAGCAGCGCTGGAGGTGCCAACTGAAGAGAATCTCACAATAAGTGTAATATTGTCCCGGCATCATTCACTTTGAATTTCTGCAGTAAGTGTTTCTTTTCTTTTGAATTTCTGCAGTAAGTTATTGTTCTTCAACAATAAATTACAAAGACAATATATCAGAAAGTTAATTTATTTAAAGGTTATCATTAGAAAACGTTTCTGCAGTACCGTAAGTTTTTCTTTTCCACTTTAACAATAAATTACGAAGGCAATATATCAGAAAGTCAATTTATTTAAAGGTTATCATTAGAAGACGTTGCTAGTGTGATGCGTCGATGATTAAATTTACTGTAATGTCGTGGATGGTGTGTCAGTTCCTAAGTTATCTGTTTATAAATAATTGATGTACTTTGCTTGTTACGATACGTTATTCCCGTGTTATTTAATTACAATCTGTGTCAATTAATTCGTGTGAATTTCCATGATTTTTTTCTTCTGTCGCCCAATTTTTATTGAATTGCTACCGCTTAGTTTCATGAAAGCTAAATTCGTATTAGTTTCGTGAAGCTAACCTCGTATTACTGTCGGCCATTCATATTTTTATGGTTGATTTGATTAAAATTTTCCGACTTCTCTATAATGTTTCTGGGAAGCTGACCCATTGTTATGTATGACGTTTATGTTTGTATTAATGTCACTTATTTGCTTAAATCGCAAGTTGACTAAAAATTTAAAAGCAAAGAATAGTCCACAAAAATTCATATCTTTATAGAAAACCTTTAGCGTTTTCTATAAAGATATGAATTTTTGTGGACTATTCTTTGCTTTTAAATTTATGTTTGTGAGTTTAGTTTGATCCATCAAGTTAGTGCGCCTCATTAAAGGTCAATAAAGGTTTATCTGTGAATTGATCTGTTCTTAGCTAATTTAAATTAAAACTTAATAAATTAATAATCTCTAAGTTTTGCGTTTAAAAATTAATTAAATTAATAATCTTTAAGTTTTGCTTTTACCAGAATTTGTTTCCTCGTTGTCGCGATAATTTTTGTAATTACCGTCGTAATTAATTCTTTATGGAGCGTTGTTTTGCAGGGAGGTGACCATCATACCCTCCTCATTAATCCTAATTAAGTAGCAATTAACAGTGAGGCGAGATAACATTTAGCGGAACTCACAATACAAAGTCATTGCTCAACTTGATATTTCAAGTTGTACGTTTTTAAATAGTTTGTCATCGATAAATTGAGAATAATTATTTAAAGAATTTAATGACGAATCGTTCCTGTGAAAGCCCCTAGCCAGAGACCAGAGAAGTAGCACAACTTGACCCAATGAGTGCCCAACGAGGTGACCTCAGCTTCTCAATCGCGAGGTTAAGTAAGAATAATTCCTTGTACTTGCCTTCTCTGTCTTACTCTTACTCTTGTACTACCTATCCTACCTATTGTACGATTGTCTCGTATCTGTCACTCCTGCTTATCTATCTGTGGTTCCTGCTCTACATTAATACTTCTTCCTTAAGGTGCTTGTACACGGGGACAGTACTGGCGGCTAGTAGATCAGAGAAATATAACTCGGTACTCACTGCAGTGAGTGACAGAGAGCGCATTTTCTCGTCGACGAAAACTTGAGGTCACGGACGGACAGACAGACAGACGGACATGGCGAGCACAATAGTGCATTTTTTCCATAAATGAGAAAATGCGCTAAAAATGCCAAATGTCTGCCGCTTGTTGTCTATCCCGCTAGTAAGCTTAGACACGAGGCAAGTTTAAGGTGCCGCCGTGCCGGTAACGACTAGATACCGGCACGGCGGCCCCTTAAACTTGCCTCGTGTCTAAGGGTACGCACACAGTGAAACTGCTCAGGCTGGCGCCTGAAACCATAGAATACAGAAGCCTATTCGTACAGGTTTTCACTGTGAACACTTACATTATTATCCTATGTTCATTCTTGTGGCAGGTTGAAACCATAGCATACAGAAGCCTATTCGTACAGGTTTTCACTGTGAACACTTACATTATTATCCTATGTTCATTCTTGTGGCAGGTCGGAGCAGGTTGCCCGCGCGGGCAAACCTGCTTCCACTGTGTGCGTACCCTAAGCTTACCTACTGGCGTGAAAGACACCAAGTGGCAGACATTTGGCACTTTTCTGATCTACTGGCCGCCAGTACTGTCCCCGTGTACAAGCACCTTTAGCGAGGTGGCGTTGCTGCTTCTCGCGTATGAACTTCAGCTCTCTGGCCTCTCGAAGGCATCCGTCTCCGCGCGGTGGTTCTTTATTTATCCTAGAAAATCAGACGACCAAAATGTGCCTCCTTGCAGTGGACGACACACTATTTTCATATCCGAGTGTCAGTATAAGAGCTTGATCAAATTTTCTTCTCAATAATAAAGATAAATTTGTTTAATAAATGATGAGGAGCTAACAAATAAATATTGAAGGGCCAGAATTGAGTGTTATTTTGTGTATCTGTAGCTACGTACGGTACATGTAAGCAAGCGAGCTTATGAGATAAGATGTCATGTACATCGTGGAGTGTAATGTAATGATGATATGTGTCTGCCTTAATTCCACTGTAATGCCTGCGTTGGAGAGTAACAAGAATGTTGTGTGTTCTCGTGCGAGTGAACAATCCAGACTTCCAGAGTCTTGTCAATGTTTGAAGGCTCCCTAATTATGGCAATGTTGTCAATATTCTTATTGAATAAATTTGAATTGTTCATTTTTCTCAATTGCATCAACCTTCCATCAGCTCGATTACTTAGGGTAAGCTCGAGGGCTTCTAAAAAGAAGGGCAAGCGCGAGAGGATCTCTTGTCTTCCTATAGCATGTCGATCTCATGGCCTAATCCGTTAATAAAATCATGAATGTGCTGGGAATTTCCGGTAAATATTATACGTGATAATGATGTAGTGGTGTGATGATCTCTACTGAATATGTTGAGCTCGCTAGAAGAATTGAGGTTGTTATTCTCAATCAATTTTAAAATAGTCGCTTCGACGGCGAACTTCGAAAGAAATTTTTGATGCGCATTTGATTTACGAAATATGAGTCATAATTGCTTAATTTGAGGTCTTATAAAGTGTTTCCAGATAGAGCGTATTTTGTTGCTGCATTAATTCTATCAATTATAAACACGTCGGGACCAGGGCCTATACTTTCAAAAAAAGTTAAGAGATCGTAAGTTCATCAGCCAATCATTGACGGCCTTTCAAGCAAAATCCACCAATCATAGACAAGAAAATAGAGCGTAAGTACTTACGTTCACTTAGCAAGTTTTGAAAGGATGGCCCCAGGGCTTATTGTCGCGGGACGTTTTAATGGGACGCTACGGCCTGAGGCTGGTGCGTTCAAGACGTGCGGTCGAGCGCACCGCTACAACGATTTGTACTGCAGTTTAACGTCTTCCGATAAAGTCTCGGGTATTGAATAGCGATTGAAGAAATTGCACTTCGAAGCGATTGATTAAAGTCTAAGGTTAAGAATTCAGAGTGATTCAGAAAGATTAAATGTGTAGTTCCTGCTCTATTTACATGTCCTTGTCTTCTGTAACAGTAATTATGTTTGCGTTAGGATGTGCCTTGATTTTTCCAGTTTGAATTTAAATAAAATTAGCGTTTACTTTTCCCGTAATGTGCTCAAGTTTCCTATAGAATTTCCTATGATTGTTTCCTATAGAACCTCTGTCTGAACGCGCCTAGTGACCTCCTCGGGCAGACTACTTCACCTCTGAAGTGCTATGCTGCACTGACAGTGCTCCTTAAGTTCAAATGGAGAATTAAGTAGTATTCATTAATTTTAAGCTTCGAAATCCGACTTTCTACACGTCAACAGCCATATATGTCTAGCTTTTACAACCACATTAGAGAGTCAAAAATGTTGAGTCTAAACCTGTATCAAACGTATGCATCCCGGAAATCATTTATATTTTTTAGCTTTGTAAAAATATAAAATTTCAATATAGCCTAAATGGCATCGTTTCAAAGACGTATTGTTAATATTGAAAATTTAACTTTAAAAATTATGCAAGTTAAAATCTTGCACGATTCCATCTGAAAATTTTATTAGACACTATTACATTGCAAGTGAGGTTTTTGTTTGTTATTTGTCCATCACGGGATATGCGCCTCTTTTTACCCTAAACTTTTGGCTGCAAAAGGATTTCACTCCAGAATTTCTGTTGAGCCAATTCTTGTTGGTAATGTTTGGTTCCGGGTAGTTAGGTTCCCTACGTCGCAGAAAGTGATTCTAATGGGAGATGAAAACACGGGCTTGTGGTGAGTCTTTAATGCGCTCGTCATCACAATAACAACAAAAACAACAACAATATCATGTGTAACAGTAACAAAATGCTCATTTCGAAGAGATATCGAGAAAAACAGATGACCTCGCGCGTATCTATCGAGTTCAAAAGTAACAGCCGCCGAATGCTGTTAGCCGGAGGAAAGGGTTGAGACCAAGCGGTAGAACAAGAGTGTAGAGAAGTAGATGCTATTTACAAAGCTTGGCGTTTCTGAGTAGGATCCTTTGGGAGCGGTCCATCGTCTGCCTCAGAGTGCAAAAGGATCCAATATGAAGACTTCACAAGACCTTGCGGACGAAACTTCAGACGTGCTCGAAGATGCAACCGAAGACCGAATGGTACTTACGGCCTCAGGTGTGAGCTGAAATCCACGTGAAGGGAAGAAATAATCGAACCTTTCACTCTGAATGATTTATTCCGCGACTAATCGGAACCACTTGCCAGTCTTTTCGTCGAAGACTTTGCCGCTGTCCAAGTCAAACGCCAGTTTGGGTACTTCTTCGGATGGAGCTTTCGCGCTATCGGAGACTTTGGGACTGTATTTGCTCTTGGGGTTCTTAGGGATACTTCTATTAAAGTAGGGTTTTGACATGGGGGGACTAATGGTGGTGGAGGGAGCCCGGTATCCTTGATTGGAGGTGCCATCGCTTTCAATCCCACCCACCGAAGAATGGTCCTTCATAATCTCAGGAGGAGTGAATGGGTCGAACCCAAGCATGTCGTTAAACGCTGCGTCGGGATCAGAGTTGGATGCTTGAGTGCCAGTCTGTGGCTCGAGGTCCATCATTGGGGCATTAGCAAACAACTGCTGGTCTTTGGGTCCGACAAATTCTTTCTTGTCCATGCCTGTGGGCTTCTTGTAGAAATTATCTTTCGATGGTTTCTCAGAGCTCTTCCTTCTCTGTCGGTAGGAGTCGGACTTGTAGGAATCTTGGGGCTGAACGAACTCAGGGACAGGTTCACTGTAGCCGTGGTGGCCATCCTAAAAAGAGGAAGAAAATAGGGATGGGTAGCTTAACTCCAGCATCCTTTAGAATTTCTCAAGTACATTATCACACCGTTTTGTTAACAAGTTTGTTGGCATGTTGTTTTCAAACGGTGATTTGAAATTAACTCATTTGTTGGCATGTGACTCGAATAATTTCACAAGATATTTTGTAATTTAAACCAATTTGTTGCTCGTTAGATAAAGGTTCTTCACTTGAGTTTCTGAAGGTTATCATTTTCAATAAGCGCTTTAAATTATGCCTTTGATTGAAGCCAAATTTGAAGTCAATCATTATAATTAAAATTGTCCTTGGATGAATGTAACTTTGTCGAGACCGTCGTAAAAGCGTCGAGTTTATCGAGAGCTTCTATTTGTCGCTCTCATTTGTCTTCCAACACCAGTAATATTATGAATAAGTTCTCCACAGTAAGCGAGTCTTTAAAGGAATTGTGCACGTTCGCATGTACTGAATTCAAAGAGTGTATTATAAATTTTATTAATTTATTGGAATTAACTGACGTCAGAACTATGATGATGGTGAGAACCGTCGTGGTGACCTGCCTCCCCTCCGTCGTCATCATGATGGTGACCATTGCTACTGTGATGATGACCATGGCTACTGTGATGATGACCATCACCATCGTGATGATGGCCGCCCTGCAATACAGTGAGTGCGGTGCTCCCGGGAGTGTGCAATGTGCATGTTGTCTACCATGAGGGATGGTAGCTCAGCCATATGTTAGCTCAGCTCAGCCATATGGTAGCTCAGCCATATGGTAGCTCAGCCATATGGTAGCTCAGCCATATGGTATCTCAGCCATATGGTAGCTCAGCAATATGGTAGCTCAGCCATATGTTAGCTCAGCCATATGGTAGCTCAGCCATATGGTAGCTCAGCCATGTGGTAGCTTAGCCATATGGAAGCTCAGCCATATGGTAGCTCAGCCATATGGTCGCTCAGCCATATGGTAGCTCAGCCATATGGTAGCTCAGCCATATGGTAGCTCAGCCATTTGGTAGCTCGGCCATATGGTAGCTCAGCCATATGGTAGCTCAGCCACATGGTAGCTCAGCCATATGGTAACTCAGCCATATGGTAGCCCAGCCATATGGCGGCTCAGCCATATGGCGGCTCAGCCATATGGTAGCTCAGCCATATGGTAGCTCAGCCATATGGTAGCTCAGCCATGTGGTAGCTCAACCATATGGTCGCTCAGCCATATGGTAGTTCAGCCATATGTTAGCTCAGCCATTTGGTAGCTCAGCCATATGGTAGCTCAGCCATATGGTAGCTCAGCCATATGGTAGCTCAGCCATATGGTAGCTCAGCCATATGGTAGCTCAGCCATATGTTCGCTCAGCCATAAACTGCCAGCCATTTAGGACTCTCGAGCCATGAGAGTCCGCACATTATTATGCAGGCACTCCCACATAAAAAAGATGAGTCCCAATATTAGGTCAAATTAATTACCATAAATTTAACGTTGTTGAATTATAGGTTGCAAGTTCGGCTTGTTTAAGGTTTGATTTTAAGTCTGAGCACGTGCGTCTAGAAGCGGATTTATTTTGATATAACTAGACCAGCAATTAGCAGGCAAGACAGCTAGTTAGAGGTTTATAAACAACGTACCAGTGCGAATGAAAAGTAATAGGGCCCATGTTGTAATGATAACTATTTTGAAGACATAGTTTTAGAAAGATTTTCTAAGATACTGATTTGTTCCTAAATTTAAATACAGAGAAGTACAAATCTTTAATTGTTTAAGAAAGAGACATGTTTATTTATAAATAAAACAAATATTCAGAGCTAAGATGTCAAATGAAGATAAGGTGTGTTTAAGCCAGCAGCCGTTAAATGTTCCATGAGTTGTTTGCAAAACTGGAAAATGTGTTGAAATTCAAACATTGTTTAACGTGGTGTTATATCGCCACACTGGTCGAAATGGCTGAAATGGGGACATATCTTAGCAGAATTTTTGCCGATGAATTCTTTTTTAAAAATATCATATTAAAGTTAATATCGTTTTTAGTTCTAACGTTAGAACTTATTTTGAAGAGGCTATTACTTTATAACCCAGTTACAAATGAGTTGAACTTGGAAAAAAAGTTCAAAAGTTCAAAAGTTTTAAAAGTTTAAAAAGTTCAAAAAGTTTTAAAAGTTTGCGGATTTTTGTTGGAACGAATAGTCGATATTTTGAATCAATAATAATATTAATTCAATTATCTGCCACCAAGAGAGCCAGCTAAACGAGTGACCAAGTAAGAAACGAAAAGCGAAGTAAATGACCAGCAGAACAAATGATTAGCAGAATGATTAATATGTGTAACTAATATTATAATAAAACTTACGTCATCTCCGCCGCCATCCTGAAATAATAAAAACAAATTTTTTGGGGTTGATTTTTATCGTTTTTCAGACATAATTGTTATGAAAATAAAAATTTGTTAAGATCTGAAGTTCAAATGCACGAGGTCACCTGATAATGATCGAGAGATATAAAAAGTCAATAGTTTGGTAACCAAACAATCTTGTATTGTAGTTTATTTATTGTTCAGTAAATTATCTATTAGTCAACTCTCTGTGTAATAATAATCTTTTTATATATTTATCATCTCTTTATATAATCTTTAACGCTTCAAACATTGGTTATCTCTTTATATAATGATTATCTCTACATAAATTTATTATCTCTTTATATAATGATTAACTCCTGATATATTGTCATCTCTCTATATACTAATTATCTCTTCATATATTGCTTATCTCTTTATATAATGGTTAACTCTTCATATATTTATTATCTCGTTATATACTGATTATCTTTTCATATATATATAATCTCTTCATATATTTATTATCTCTTCATATAGTTATTATCTCTTTATATAACAATTAACTCTCAATGTATTCGAGCTATAGTAGCAGAGCTACAGGGGGGAGGGGGGGGACTCACGTGGTCCGGATGTTCCTTTTGTTTGCAGTGTACTGCCGTCGCTGTTGTAATCTCACCGACAGCGCTGCTGCTGTTGGTGCTCTCAAGCTGTTCTTGCCTTTTGTTTAGAATAGAAGTGTCGGCGTTGAAGACATAGGCCCATGGCCTGTTGCCGATTCTTGTACTTTTCGTGACTTGATTCACAAGGGATCCGGCCTTTGGAACCCGATCTTTCCATAACTGACTATTGATTGAGATAGCTGCTGGACTTATTGCCTGGGCCCATACTTTCAAAAAATGTTAAGAGATCGTAAGTCCATCAGCCAATTACTGACGGCCACGCAAGCAAAATTCACCAATCATAGACCAGAAAATAGAGCGTAAGTACTTACGTTCACTTAGCGAGTTTTGAAAGTATGGCCCCTGGGTCCGTAATTTGCTAGGCATTTTAAGACTGAACATATGCTCCTGCATAGCTTCGTCTAGTCTGTTATTGAAGGCGTTCATATGTTCAACATCACTTATGTGGTGTAACTAGTGACTGCTGCTCGTGACTAGTGACTGCTGCACGTAACTAGTGACTGCTGCTCGTAACTAGTGACTGCTGCTCGTAACTAGTGACTGCTGTACGTAACTAGTAAAATCTCTCTTGCTTGAGAGAGAGAAATCGCATGTCACTAGTATAGCACTACATAGGCTATGGCATGTAACTGGTTTAGCACTATTGCATGTAACTAGCATAAACACTATCGCATGTAACTAATATAGCACTATATGGCATGTAACTAATATAGCACTATGACATGTAACTAATATAGCACTATGACATGTAACTAATATAGCACTATGACATGTAACTAATATAGCACTATGACATGTAACTAGCATATAACATTATCGTCAGTATCTATTCAGTAGCAGTTCAGAAATATCTGCTGCGTCTCATACATAGCTTGCCGGAGAATTGGGTTTTATTTTCGCTCAGGATTTGTATTGCTGTAATATGAACAAATAAACAAACGGGTGTATAATCGTAATGAAGTATTAATGCAGGTAAGAATATCATTACTGCATTGGATGCTCGTGTCTCATATAAAATACAAGCGATGGCAAGAATACATGATTGTTTGGTCTCAGTTAGTCCAATGAGGAAGTTTACGTCAAAATCTAAAGCTTAAGATAAATTTAATCAATGAATACTTTGCTGTTGTGTAGTAATTACTAGAGTAGATAACTAAATTTATCATTTATCCTCGAGAAATCATCAATATTCAAAATGAAAAATAAAGACTTTCATTTTAGTGAAGAAGAAAGCAATTTCAGCATTAGAGTAGATAAGTAAATTTATCATTTAGCCTCGAGAAATCATCACGATCCAAAATGAAAAATGAATATTTTTTCATTTTAATAAAGAAGAAAGCATTGTCGGCATAATAGAAGGCGCTCACCTTGGACTTGAAGTTGTGGTGTGGGCCTCCCTTCTCGTAGCGCTCAACCACATGCTTGTCGTTGCCGCGTTTGAAGCCAAACTCGTAATGTTTGTGTTCCGGCTGGTGAGCATACCTGCGCAACAAGCATAGCCATGTTTGAGCTAATACAGCATTAGAGATTGTTGAGCGTCGGTAGTTGGCAATGGCTTTTCAATGAGGCACAATAATGTTACATGACGACAATACATGATGGCTGGGCAATGATATAAAAAAGAGTAGTGTTACATAACGAAAAAACCTGATGGTTGGTTAATGATATAAAAAAAGAGCAGTGTTACATAACGAAAAAACCTGCTGGCTGGTCAATGATATAAAAAAATATAACTCAGTGCTCACTGCAGTGAGTGACAGAGAGCGCATTTTCTCGTCGCCGAAAACGTGAAGTCACGGACGGACAGACAGACGGACGGACAGATGGACATGGCGAGCACAATAGTGCATTTTTTCCATAAATAAGGAAATGCGCTAAAAAAGGCAGTGTTACATAACGAAAAAAACTGCTAGGAGCAACCTACACAACGCGGAAACTTTAGGTCATTTTATGATGATCGTGGGTATTATGTGTATTTAATTAAGAGATAATAATTCCTTGCGACCAAAGCATGGCTCGCTTGCTTGCCGTGTACTCACATGAAGAATTTGCCGTGGCCGTGGTGGCCGTGGCCGAGATGGTGGCCGCCGTGATGGTGGTGGCCGTGGTGGCCTCCCGTAAACCCGGTGGCCAGAGCCTGGTTATCTCCTGCAACAAAGACTTGGGTGTGAGAGGACTGAGGGTTAGACTAATTGAACGATCAATGTCATTCATCCATTGCGTTCATCTCGCATCGCATACATCGCTAGCAAAGAAACCTATACGGTGAAGATTTTCAGAAAACTATAGACTGCATAAACAACGGAACAGGAGGGGATAACCTTAATAAATAATTTGTTCTCACATTTCTCCGTCACCGTGTTCAGAAAGAATAAATTTTACACTTGATAAATTAATGACGGGCATATCAAACGCTGTTATCCTTGACGCCATTACAAGCACCACAGGAAGGATGAACTATATGTATTATAAATCTCTGAACTTTGATTGAACTCAAATTAATTTAATTGTGCCAATAATTAACGACGTTACCTTTGACGTTCCTCTTCTGAAGAGCAGACGACAGGTCAGGCACGGCGCCTGCCAGCTGCAGGAGGGCGCTCTTGCCATCGACTGTGGCAGCTGCCACCTGCCGCTGTGGCTGCTGTGCCACCACCGCCACACTTGCCACCACCGCAGCTAACGTCCACACCCGCAGTAACTGAGCAACAAAACAGATGATTTATCACGAGCACAAGATGAATCAAAATGCAAATTAGTTCAAAGTTCAAAGCGATTAATTTATGTATTTTGATGATTAATAATCATCAAAGTTCTTTTGATGATTAATTAATTTGATGATTTTTACGCATGATGATTAATTTTTACAATTTTATGATTTTAATGGGAAAATTATTCGTAATCATTGCATGATAGAGTATATTTCAGCTCTAAAAGTCTTTGTGGCGAAACGTCGTTTGCGCGTTCAGGTCGAGGCGTGGCCTACGCACGATCAGCGGCATACTTTATCAGCGATGCTGATCTGCGACATAACATTCACAGAGACTCGTGTTATCAATTCCATTTCCGTTGTCATCAAATTCTATATACCCTCGCTGTCATTAAATTCCACTTCCGTTGTCATCAAATTCTATATACCCTCGCTGTCATCAAATTCCACCCTCGTTGTCATCAAATTCTATATACCCTCGTTGTCATCAATTCCACCTTCGTTGTCATCAAATTGAACTCTCGTTGTCATCAAATTCCACCCTCGCTGTCATCAAATTCCACCCTCGTTGTCATCAAATTCCACCCTCGTTGTCATCAAATTCCACCCTCGTTGTCATCAAATTCCACCCTCGTTGTCATCAAATTCCACCCTCGCCAGCATCAAATGTAGCATCAACGCTGCGTCCTACGGAGGCGCCGGGCTGCCCCGTTTATCGCAATGAAAGATCGCTCTCTTCGCTTCGATGGCTTCGTGCCATTGGTTCTACACTACAATTTTTTGTGAGGCCTTCAAACTCGTATTATTAATTATAACTGATATCTTCTGGGTAATACGAACAATTAAACGAAAATATTTCTAACCCAAAAGACGCGTGTAATTCTGCATTTATTTTGTATTGTGTTTGAAATGAATTACGGACCTTGGTGATTATTTTAGAATTTGAGTGTAAAAATGATTATCATTCGAGGAAACAGCCATTTAAATATTGTTCAATTGTTAATTATTTGACACGATAATAATGCACGTGCATTAAATATTCGAATAAAGTCTTGCGTTCTAATATCCATTATTCATTGGCAATCATAATTTTTTTCCTAAAAACGAAAAATTTTGAAGCGTCCATACATCAATATGTTAATTTTATAATGACGCAATAAACAATAGCATTTACAAACGTTGATTTCAATATAAATGACCTTGAATTTTTCAAGCAAATTATACATGTTTTGACGATGACAAATCTACCCTAACAAAATTTACAGGCGTGCGCGACTCTGCACTAGGGCCGTCTAGGACTCGAGGAGCACGTAAATCAGCTTCTCCATGTCCGCTACGGCTCATGGGGCCATACTTTCAAAACTCGCTAATTGAACGTAAGTACTTACGCTCTATTTTCTTGTCTATGATTGGTGGATTTTGCTTGAAAGGCCGTCAATGATTGGCTGATGAACTTACGATCTCTTAACTTTTCTTGAAAGTATGGCTTGAAAGGCCGTCAATGATTGGCTGATGAACTTACGATCTCTTAACTTTTTTTGAAAGTTTAGGCCCAGGGTTGCAACAGCAGCCTCGACTGGGCAGCTTGCTAGCTCGGTATAACTCGGCTCGGCCAACCCTTGTCATACTCTCAGGCAGATACATTCAGGAGAAATAAAGTCGGATAAGAGATTCTGACCAGAAACTGATTTCGATCGGATGGCCAAGCAGACCCAGAATAACTTTGCGCCGAATGTAGTGACTGTTTGGCCGAAGCCTAGGCGGCCCCTGAATTTTGAAAGGGCAGCAATGATTTCCGGCAGGAAAATAAGAAATATGTTCGTGTCTTCGATATTTGATTCATTGGATTTATGTTTGATTGTTTCGACTGATGTTTAATTTATTGGATTAGTTTTAAGTTTTCCCTAACAACCACACTTGAAATCTTGGAATTAGGTTGTCATCGCACCCCCGCTTCGCTATTTTTCATTGATAGTTCTCGCTGTTAACTTGATCAACATCATCAGTAGCTAATCCACTTAGCTGGCCCACATAAGAGGACTCACCATGTTGCGTGTATCTCGGGTGCAGGTCACGGAACAACTGACACCTGCTGGTCACTCCCCGCCTTATATACGTGCTCGCAGAATGGAAAGGCAGAAACGCTTCTCTGTTTTCCTCGCTCGAGATTCCGGAGCGGGGAACCGCGCGAAAGGCAAAGTCGCATTTTTTGCTTTTCGCTCGCAGTGATGAAGGAAATACGATGGCGTGTTCCAACCCAGCGATCGTCGCGTGCTGCGCTCAGCCGACATCGTCGCCCTCAAGGAAGTAAGTCGATCTGGACTACTATTACTACTACTACATCTGGGGCTATACTTTAAAAACTCGCTAAGTGAACGTAAGTACTTACGCACTATTTTCTTGTTTATGATTGGTGGATTTTGCTTGGAAGGCCGTCAATGATTGGCTGATGAACTTACGAACTCTTAACTTTTTTTGAAAGTATGGCCCCTGGACACTAATAGAGAGCCGCCATCATCGTACACGCAGTAATATGCTCGGTGTAGCGCCATCATCGTACACGCAGTAATATGCTCGGTGTAGCGCCATCATCGTACACGCAGTAACATGCTCGGTGTAGCGCCATCATCGTACACGCAGTAATATGCTCGGTGTAGCGTTNAGAGGCGTTCAGAAGAGCAGAGAGCGCACCAACGACGTAGACACGACAGGCGTTCAGAAGAGGCAGGATGCATGCCTACGACGTACAAGTGAAGTACTTTGAATCCCGAAAAAATACACGATTTATTAGGAGCGTCTCACCGTTGACAACGAAAAACATCAACGTCAACCAATGACCATCGGCAACGTACATAATAATAGCGGTAATAATAGCGGTTTCAGCGTTTATTAGGCCGTAGGCCTGTCGCCGATACAAGGTCGAATGAGTACATATAGTTGATGTTTTCACATGTCGATATAAGAAAAATCTTTCACGTGCATTTTACTCAGTCACCGTCAGCGATATAATTCTTATCAGCAGCTATCATAAGTTAACAGAGTGAACTGTGCCAGCATTGCTCGTTCTGCTCAGGGTAATGAGATTTGTCTCTGGCCATTTAATTCGAGAATGGAAAAAGATATGTTAAAAACTTCATATCTGTGCATACAGACGGAGTTACTCAATTTCATTTCTACTATGGTCTTCAAAACAAAAAACGAGAAAAAAAATTCTTCAAAACAAAATAACGAGCACGGTTCAGACACGGGCATTTTAGTGTATTGTTTTCCAAGTTATTATTTGAAAAATAGTTCAATAGTTCAGTAAAAAGCGGACAGTGCCGGACTAGCATGTTTAGTCTCAGTGAAGCAGCTGGGTTAGGGAACTGTTTTCAAACTCTTAAAAATAAGTCTATATTCTCCAGGAAGTGCTTCTTAGTAATGAAACATTAGAACCGACCAGCCAACGCCATTGAATACAACACTAAGTACAAAACATTTCGAATTGATCGATAAAGGTTAGAGGGTGAACAGCACACACAGCTTCATCAATCAAGCATTTCTGAGCCAACTACACAGTCTAATTTTATTCAACTCTGTAGCCGCCACTGTAGCATATCGAGAAAAAATCTGTCTGGATCAGAAAAAAAAGCAATTCCGCGCAGCGTCGCAGAAACGTAGGCAACTTTCGACCGACGTTCAATCGAAGTCACGTGCGCCAGTCACCGTTCATTTGTTTTGAAGTTTTTCGGTGAACTTTCGAAGTCTGCGGCGCAAATGTCGCTCCAAATCAACAGCAGCAGCAAAATTCGAATCATTATTATGTACAGCAAAGCGTGCGGTAACAGGCAAAGCAACAGCTGTGACGTTATCAATAATCTTAAACTAGGAACTCTCAATGAGGTAACACTGACGAAACCCCTGATGGAAAAACATTATAAGGGAGACAACTTATACCATTAATAACGAAGCATGACGCAGCGATAATAATAACAGCAGTTATACGATGTACAATATATAGGATGTATAACAGCTGACATATATATAGGAGGTAACATATGAACAGTCACCTACATCAAGAACAAGGTTTATATAGTACCTGCTATAGGACTCTTGTAGAAGGTTTACGTATATAGTACCTGCTGTAGGACTCTTGTAGAAGGCTAATATAGTACCTGCTATGAGACTCTTGTACAAGCAGAGCTGGGCAGCGCTATTTTAAAACGTAGCGGCCGCTACCGCTACCGCTACATGCTCTAAATGTAGCGGGCGCTACCACTACTGCTACATGCTCTAAATGTAGCGGGCGCTACCACTATACTGCTACATGCTCTAAATGTAGCGGGCGCTACCACTACCGCTACACCCACTAGATGTAGCGAGCGCTACCGCTACCGCTACAGTAAAATGTAGTGCCGCTACATTGGCCGCTACAATGGCCAAAATTATTGGAAAACTCTAAATATTTATTGTTCTGCTATTGGGATTTACTCATAATCATTTAATGATAATAAAACATTTTCAAAACATAACAATGCAACTATATTGCAATTAACTTAACCGAACTAGTACGAGTTAGATAGAATAAATAAAAGTTAATTATTTATTGTTTTACCTTCCCTACATGGATGTCTATTTTAATCTACCAATCTCAAAAATTATCCACATATACATATAAAAATCAGTCTTTTATTTGTATATAGATATGGATTATTTTGAGATTGGTAGATTAAAGTAGACATCCATGTAGGGAAGGTGAAACATAAAAAAGACTGTAAAAATAACTATAAGTAAACTGAAACATGAAAAAATACCTGTAAGTGGTAACTGGTAACAACTTAACAAGTAACAACTAACATGTTGACACTAGTAACAGGCTGAGGTTGACAACATTACAGCTAAATCTTTCGTACAGTTTTATTCTGTAATTCAAATTATGTATGTATCATGCTGGTTTTTAAATAATATTTAATACAATTAAGCAAAATCTAAAGGCTTTATCTATAAATGTAGCGGTAGCACTGTAGCGGCAAAGCCTCGTATCGCTACTTAAATATGTAGCGGGCGCTACCGCTACCGCTACAATTGCTTAAATGTATTGCCGCTACCGCTACCGCTACATGTAGCGCGCTACTGCCCACCTCTGTGTACATGGCTTATATAGTACCTGCTATAGGACTCTTGTACAAGGCTTCCTCTGTGTACANATAGGACTCTTGTACAAGGCTTATAGTAGCTGCCATAGGACTCTTGTACAAGGCTTATAGTAGCTGCCATGGGACTCATGTACAAGGCTTATAGTAGCTGCTAAATAGGACGCTTGTACAAGGCTTATGGTACCTGCTATGGGACTCTTGTACAAGGCTTATAGTAGCTGCTATGGGACTCTTGTACAAGGTTGTAATTCTCTAGTACAGCCAGTTTTGCTGTCGTGTACAAAAGAAAATTGATTAATTCTAAAATTTAAAAATTATTTCGCTTCATCAGTGAAGAGATAATTGAAGTGTTAAATCCGTTCAAACAACCCACATTTGGTAGCACAATTCCTAAGCAATGTTATCACGAACATCGGACGCTTCTATTCTTCGCTTGCACACGGAGAACAAGTTACATGCGTTGCCTTACCAACCGTCCGTATGGAACCTGATACTGTGCTTGTCATTCCATAGTACACATCGCAGAACTTATATATTTACTATCAATACTTGTATAAGTGCACACATATATGAATTATTGTATGCACAGTGCGGTATTTGAAGAAATGTTTCTCTGGGTAACGAGGAAATGGTTTAATGTGAGTCTAAATCCGCTTCATCGACTGGGAAATTCTAAGCATTAGAGAAGTCCACCATTACATGACTGGCAGAAAAATCAAAAGACCAAATAAGGCATCACTCGAGACGTTAATCACGACCCAAGGACACACGTTTAGTTTATGTCTTGCTGCAGCAGCAAGTGATGCTCAGATAAATAACACTTCGGTCAGGTAAAAGATAAAAATTTATCAGCAACATATTTATGTACGGCAACAATTCCATCGGTGCTTAAGAAGCGTAGAACCTCATTATCTAATCGCGGCGAACTTAGTAAGTCCTTTTGCACTAACATCAAGTACGACCATATCATTACCACGATGACAGCATCATTTTTGTCCTCCAGCAATGACCACAGCATGACAGGGCTCAGAGTATGAACACGTTCAAGAACAAACTAGATAAAGCTATGGAAAAATGTATGTTCAGATTTGAAATGCCTAGCACCATATCGAACCCGGTGGAAGTCTAGTAGCTACTTCAAACTATCGTCAGTCATGAAAAGAATTGGTCAAATGACACGAGTTTAGATCTTCTGTGAACAAGGCACGAAAAGTAAGAATCGGCGACAGGCCACATCAGGCCTACACTTCAGCGCCGACATCACTATGTTATGTTATTTTCGCCGACTTGTCATTCAATTTAATATTGCCACCGTCCCTATTTGACAACCTTTCTATTTATTCTATACATTACCTGGGTTGAATAATTTATCAACTGTCGTGAAAGCGTGTTTCTGGTGGGAAGCGGTNTGTACAAGGATGTACTGATGTGGTGTACAAGGATATACTGATGTGGTGTACAAGGATATACTGATGTGGTGTACAAGGATCTACTGATGTGGTGTACAATATTCACACATACGTTAAAGTCATCAAAATCAGCAATGATGTTCGTACTGCAAAAATTCATCATTGCGTTATAGGGGCATTATACTATGGGTCTGAATTTAGGAACAGTATACTTTTAAGGGCAGTGTACTTCGGGTCAGAATTTAGGGACAGTACACTTTTATTATCAGTGTACTCCGGGTCAGAATTTTTAGTGTGCAGCTAACTAACATCCGGGACGACAATGGCATAATAATTATTCGTCATGGTTGGATTATATATTAAACATTTTTAAACATTTGTCTGTTTAAAACAGATATAGTAAATATTATTATGGAACTGAAGCAACGGAACATGAATGATTTCCTTCAAACTGGTACGAACTAAGATCTCTTAGGAATCTTAATTATCAAAATAACGAATAATACTTACCGGCGAAGTCTTTTTTTAGCTACAACAAAGAAACTAGAAATTCCAAAAGATTAATGTTTGTCGGTACACGTGGCTAGAATACTAATTGCTTTTATAGATTCCTTGCTCGTAGACATGCAAGGGAGGAAGGCGGCCCATTAACTCAATGGAACTCTTGCAGTAAAAAAAGCATGAATTATAAAAAAAACATGAATTATGTTCTCTTGTGGCATGCAGGGCCATTCTGCTGCCAAGGGCATGAGCCTGAAATGTAGGCATGTGCATCACACGGCACAGTCATGCCTCAATATTTACACGTGCATCACACGGCACAGTCATGCCTCAATATTTACACGTGCATCACACGGCACAGTCTCGCCTCAATATTTACACGTGCCGGTCAAATGTTAAGAAGATCTCTGGAGACGACACTTGTGTATGTGTACAGTGTATGATGTATGACACATGTGTTAGTGTAAAGTGTATGATGTATGACACATGTGTTAGTGTAAAGTGTATGATGTATGACACATGTGTATGTGTCAAGTGTATGATGTATGACACATGTGTATGTGTACAGTGTATGATGTATGACACATGTGTTAGTGTAAAGTGTATGATTTATGACACACATAAGCTGTGTCAAGTATTGTTTATAATTTAAGCAAAAGTATATTAATCGTATGGAGTTTTTAATAACCGAATCAGAACATCATCTTGCATTTCTGGCCACAAGATGAATTAAAAAACCGATTTGTACTATTTTTATTTCAGTTTTATTTATTATTTCACTTTCATTTATATTTCATTTTTATTAATAATATGAGTTTTATTTATCATTACAGTTTCATTTATTATTTCAGTTATATATATATTTGCGGTTTAATTTAATATTTAAGTTATATTTATTTTTACAGTTTAAATTTTATTTCAGTTCAGTTATATATTTTTATTCGTAATACTGACGAAGATTGTACCGAGTTACACACGTGAATTTATTCTAAACAAGAGCGCGACTTATGAGATCCTGATGTCCGAGTCATCGACCTCTTCATCCTGCCCTGTAAAGTCAAGCAGACATATTAAGCATTAGGACGGCCTGTGTTTAATATATACATAACATAACATAACATAACATAACATAACATAACATAACATAACATAACATAACATAACGATGTCGGCGCTGAAGTGTAGGCCTGATGTGGCCTGTCGCCGATTCTTTTCCTTTTCGTGCCTTGTTCATAGATCTAAACTCGTGTCATTTGACCGGATCTTTTCATGACTGGCGATAGTTTGAAGTAGCTACTAGACTTCCACCGGGTTCGATAAGGAGCTAGGCATTTCAAATCTGAACATATATTTTTCCATAGCTTTATCTAGTCTGTTCTTGAACGCGTTCATACTTGGAGCGCCAACGATATCATCGGGGAGGCTGTTCCACATGTCGGTGATTCGAAGCGAGAAGAAATGTTAGCGCTTGGATATACCACTTGAGATAATCATTTATATAAACTGAACTTGTGACCTTCAGCAACGAAACCTAAGGCCATGAAAATGCCATCTGAAAATGCGTATAACTCGTTTGTGTTACCTGTTACCTCTAGGCTTTGAGCAAAAAAAATCCAGCTCATTAAATCAAGCAGAGACGCTCATGTAATCCTCTGAAGGGGCCCAGCTCTGCACGCCGTAGTGACAGCTCGAGGTCACGGCAACTGGTCCTTCATGGTCTTATCTGTACACAAAGAAATGAAGAGAAGGAGGAGAAAAAAAACACGCACGCTAGATGTTCTTGGTGTAGGTCAGGCGCAATAGTGCCGACATGACGCAGCAACCACCAAGTGCTGCTGCTACAGCTCCCTGTTCAGTGTTGGAAAACCTTAACACTGTTGCAGTGTAGTGAACGCATAGTTTAAAATTAACACTGTTGCAGTGTATTGAAGGCATAGTTTATTATTAACACTGTTGCAGTGTATTGAACGCATAGTTTATTATTAACACTGTTGCAGTGTATTGAACGCATAGTTTAAAATTAACACTGTTGCAGTGTATTGAACGCATAGTTTAAAGTTAACACTGTTGCAGTGTATTGAACGCATAGTTTAAAGTTAACACTGTTGCAGTGTAGTGTGCGCATAGTTTATTATTATCACTGCTCGTAAGGCTGGAACTTTTTAGAATTTTCGTTTTTTACGTGATGTTAGCCGAAAAATTTAATTAATTTCTAAATAAATAATTTATTCAATAATGATAACAGAATTATTATTGAGAGTCGAGTGCAGAGTATTGCAATAAAAAATCGTGAGAGGGTTTTATTAATGTAGTTGTATTAAATCTCAGTGTAGCCTGTGTATTTATTACGCACTGTCTGCAGTTTTTGAACCAGCGATATAATACAAAGTGTATTATTGGATCACAATCATGCTCACCACATAATATCACGTGTCGTAACGATTATTTATATTTAAATCTACCTAAAATCTAGCACAGTCATTGCAGTTATTCTGGGAAAGTTATCTCGCAAGTGATAAACATTACAGACAAATATTATTCAAAATACAACTGCACACTCTGATTCTGATTAGACTTATGGACTTTCGATTAATGTTCAGACTTTACACGCGCCTGATAGAATATCTATACATGAACATCTATAATGTTCATGTATAGAACATCTATAATGATTAAATGTGGACGCCTAGTTGATGTCGAATAAAACTTCCCATAAACATATTTCAATGTTTTATTGAATATTTTTTCCGTGCACTGAAAATAATCGAAGCTTTGCCCTTGTTGTTGCCGTAGGAGGCGTGCTGGATTGCCACGACTCGCAGGCAAGTGAGTCGCAGGCAAGTGAGTCGCAGGCAAGTGAGTCGCAGGCAAGTGAGTCGCAGGCAAGTGAGTCGCAGGCAAGTGAGTCGCAGGCAAGTGAGTCGCAGGCAAGTGAGTCGCAGGCAAGTGAGTCGCAGGCAAGTGAGTNTCATGTGCGTGTATGTTGGTCCCATGTCGGCCCTAGCGTCTAGACCGGCATCATGTGCGTGTATGTTGGTCCCATGTCGTCCCTAGCGTCTAGACCGGCATCATGTGCGTGTATGTTGGTCCCATGTCGTCCCTAGCGTCTAGACCGGCATCATGTGCGTGTATGTTGGTCCCATGTCGTCCCTAGCGTCTAGACCGGCATCATGTGCGCGTATGTTGGTCCCATGTCGTCCCTAGCGTCTAGACCGGCATCATGTGCGCGTATGTTGGTCCCATGTCGGCATGTACGCTATGCTGCTCACATAATGCGTAGTAATGCTACGCGGCCTGCAGCATATAAGGAGACTGCAGGCATGCGTGGCAACACTGCAGCGCGAGCAGCGGCCGGTGTAGGGAGCAGCATATCGTCGGCCACGTTCTCGTCAAGTAAAACATGATGTACAAATATTTACTAACACATATTTGTGACAATATAGCAAGACCTTATAGATTTTCAGCGAATTTTAGCTCAAATACTCCTAAATGATTTCGTATAATCACGATCGTGTGTTTGAAAATAGGATAAATCTGTTGATGTGTTGTGGTTTTCTGATTTGATTTAAACTTGAATTATGGCAGGCTCTTGGACTCTCAAGTGCATGGGGCGCTTAAGCAACAGCAGATCAAAGTTCACCAGTAACAGTGCTTGGCAACCAGCGGCGCTAACAACCGTCCTGTTTGTCTCAGTGCGTTGGGTTAGCATTCACGGTGCAATGACGTAAAAAAATGGAACTCAGTACTCACTGCAGTGAGTGACAGAGAGCGCATTTTCTCGTCGACGAAAACGTGGTCACGGACGGACGGACATGACGAGCACAATAGCGCCTTCTCCCATAAATGAGAAAATGCGCTAAAAAGAATCATTCTGTTCGTATTTCTGCATTCGGTTAGCATTTACGAAGCGTTGACGTCGTAAAGAATCGTTCTTTTGGTATCGTTGCATTCTGTGGTTGGCAGGATTAATGATAGCCTGAGCACAACGTGACGTTAATCTAAACGTTTATTTTATGTCTGTAATAAATCTTAAATTATTCATTCTTGTACCGAAATATTCATTCATCGATCAACAAATGATTTTTGCAACCAATCTAAAATATATTATCATTTTGACAATTAAAAATATTTATCTATTACATGTCAGGCGAGCTGCGTACGAGCATTGTGAGCCAGGCCTTGAGCCGAACTAATTGAAGACGAGAGGCTTGTGCTAATTGGCGTCATTCATTTCACTCACGGTCACCGTATATATACACTGTTAGAACGGTCGACTGTTTTTTACGGTCTATTTTCCAACAGTGTATATAGGACTTATAAGGGCATCCCACGTGCGCTGAATTAGGCCCCTTGTTCGTGGGACAGTGCGAGGAGGGGGCATGGAGAGGACGTTATACATACCTGTGCTGCTGCTACTGCTTAGCCTGTCACTGTGCTGGACGCTGCAGTTGCTGATGTTACTGCTGCTGAGGCTGCTGCTGCTGTTGCTGTTGCTGCTGCTACTGCTTAGCCTGGCACTGTGCTGGACGCTGCAGTTGCTGATGTTACTGCTGCTGAGGCTGCTGCTGCTGCTGCTGTTGCTGCTTAGGCTGCTTCTTAGCCTGGCACTGTGCAGGACGCTGCGGTTGCTGATGTTGCTGCTGCTGAGGCTGCTGCTGCTGTTGCTGTTGCTGCTTAGCCTGTCACTGTGATCGACGCTACGATTGTTGTTGCTGCTGCAGGCGACTGCTGCTGCTAAGGTGGCTGATGCTGAGGCTGCTACTACTGCTGCTTAGGCTGCTTCTTATGCCTGGAACTGCGCTGGACGGTACGATTGCTGACGTTGATCCTGCTGAGGCTGCTGCCTATGCTGCTTTATAGTATTGCAGCAGCTGTAGATGCTCTTATTACAGCAGATGTGATGGTTACTTTACTGTTGCTGTTTCTGTGGGTCCTGCAGTTGCTGTGAGTGCTGCTGATGCTGCGACTACTGAAGCAGCCCAGGCACATTCGTCACATTAACTTCAGTCAAATTATAAATATCATTAAAAGATGGAATTTCGGCTGAGATCGAAACCACGACCCTCGTTGAACTTAAGATCGCTACCGAAACTACCAGGATCGTTTTTTTGTATCTTCTTGCCGCATTTTTGTGAGAGTTAACATTTATATTATTGATCAATAGCATTGCAAGAGATAGTGATTCAACTTATAGGGTCAAGCGGCCTACGCCTTTTCCCACATTGGCGGGCCCAGCTAGTTAAGAGGTGATAATATATAATAGCGGTTTCAGCGTTTATTAAGCCGTAGGCCTGTCGCCGATTCTTAACATCGCAGAACATTAACAGCTTGTTACGGTCTCAAACTCGCAACTCACTGCTACAATTCTGCTGTGCTTAACCGCCCGGCCTCCTCGCCGATTCTGACCAGAAACTGGCGCACAGAGCTGGGATCGAACCCGCGCCTCTCTGCTCCAGCCATGGTACTCTGAACTGTAACCACTGGGCCACCCTGCCGCCAATAACACTGCAGTCATACTGCAGTGCAGATGATACTGACTGCAGTATTATTGGCGGGCCCAGTTACGTGGTGATGATACTGACTGCAGTGTTATTGGCGGGCCCAGTTACGTGGTGATGATACTGACTGCAGTGTTATTGGCGGGCCTAGTTACGTGGTGATGATTATGATAATGAAAATAAGTTAGTCAATAATATTAGGTCTTAATGTCTGCTGATAAGCGGGAGATAAGCTTGCTCCTGAAAACGCTCGTCATCGTCGTGCTATCAGCTCCGCCGTGATGGTCACGAGGCCACTGCGTGGCGAGGGTTGAGTGACATAATCAACATTTGTATGCCACACATGAGGTAAATGAAATGATTACACAAAAAATATAACTCAGTACTCACTGCACTGAGTGACAGAGAGCGCATTTTCTCGTCGACGAAAACTTGAGGTCACGGACGGACAGACGGACGGACAGACAGACAGAAAGACAGACGGACAGGGCGAGCACAGTAGTGCATTTTTTCCATAAATAAGAAAATGCGCTAAAACGAATGCATTGGTAGATTGGACAGCAGTTGACAGGCTGTGGGTAGAAGATTGGTAGAGTTGGGCAGCAGTTGACAGGCTGTGGGTAGAAGATTGGTAGATTGGACAGCAGTTGACAGGCTGTGGTTAGAAGATTGGTAGAATGGACAGCAGTTGACAGGCTGTGGGTAGAAGATTGGTAGATTAAACATCAGTTGACAGGCTGTGGGTAGAAGATTGGTAGATTGGACGGCAGTTGACAGGCTGTGGGTAGAAGATTGGTAGAGTTGGGCAGCAGTTGAAAGGCTGTGGGTAGAAGATTGGTAGAATGGACAGCAGTTGACAGGCTGTGGGTAGAAGATTGGTAGAATGGACAGCAGTTGACAGGCTGTGGGTAGAAGATTGGTAGATTAAACATCAGTTGACAGGCTGTGGGTAGAAGATTGGTAGATTGGACATCAGTTGACAGGCTGTGGGTAGAAGATTGGTAGATTGGACATCAGTTGACAGGCTGTGGGTAGAAGATTGGTAGATTGGACATCAGTTGACAGGCTGTGGGTAGAAGATTGGTAGAGTTGGGCAGCAGTTTACAGACAACAGAATACTCTAGTAAACAATTTCTTCATTCAAGGTGCGTATGGAAGTCCGAAGACTCGTATGCCACTGGACATTGATAAATTTATTTAGTAACTTTAGTAAATATTGATAGGCAATAGTAAGGAGTAGGGAGAATATTTACTGTAATTAAGAAATTATTACCTACATTCGTGGGGCGTGTTTTTTACCCAAGAATGATTTCTTCTTTACCACATGAATATCAGAATATATCGATATAAATATTTACAGACATGATTCTTTTATTATTTTCCTAGATGAAGAAATTATTAATTACCCGCCTCCACAAAAAATATATTATTTACCCTCTTTTGATAGTTATTATATTTACCCAATGCAGCTGAAATCATCATATGACTGAGACATACTGCTGTCATTGTGTGCGTCTACAGGATCATGTAGCTGACTGGCCGGACCTCAGCTTGTTGGACGACACTCATGGGGCTCGACTCGCACGTTAATTTATCGTTCACTATTGAATACCACTTAGCCTAATAAATATAAAATATTCAGCAACAAACTTTCGACTAAGATCTGTTATTTAAAACCATCACGGTCTGTGTGCGTGGGTTTATAAGACGATTATTCAATTTCTGTGAATATGTTGCTTTTTTCCATGTAATCAGCGTTTGACTTTGGTTTCAGAGTTTGTTTATAGCCTGGATTCTGGAGAGGGCGGCAGAGAGCGAGTGAGGTCCGCGACGCCTGAGGTCCGCACTTTAGGTTGGACACGACGCTAGAACATGTGATATTTTTTGTCATTATGCTTTAATTGAATTTAATTATACATTATTTTTATATATTGTCCGAGTTCGATGCCAAAATATTTCACGACCTTCAAAACATCTTTGCTCGTACAGTCGAAACTTTCTTTTATAGTTTTGCATGTACTATCATACGAAAAAAGTTTTTCGAAGATGCATATTTTTTTCGTTAAATTCCCTGTGTTGTGTGCAATAATGAATTATATCTCGGGGTTTTTGTATGAAAAAGAAAATATTTTCATGTTTTATAATGAAATATGAAAACTACATCCCATGAAACCATATTCGACGCCCATAGCTGCTGCTAGATTGGTTGTGTATGGCATAATGGACACTCAATTGAACGCCATAATTTTTATTTAATGATACAGGTTGGATTTAGTTCAATACTTCGCACGTCCGCGTGTGCGGGAGCTCCATGTGTCCGCGACATCCAGCAGGTGAAAGCAACACACCATCCGGGCCGCCAAAACCTCTTCGAGGAAATCATTTATGAACGGAGCCATGGTAAGACTAACTGGAAGGCGAGGGTGCTTATGAGTAGGGGAGTAGAATGATGAGGACGGTAAACACTACATAAACAGTTTACTATAGCCTTACGACAGTGAGAGTACCTATGTGAGGCTAGAGTGGATTAGCAACGAATACTGGACTAAAGATAGAGAAGTGTAAAGGTTGGGATCGTAAAGAGAAACAAACTGTATTACAAATTAAAATTACCAAGGTGGTATCAGAGTGGATTTGTAACGAATGAAAGGCAACATGTACACACCCAGCCAACTAGCAAGTTTACGGGAAAATGGGCCAGCGAGGATTATTAGTGACATGAGAACTTGGGATGAGACTTGAAGGAATAAAGGAGAATTGCATGGATGTGGATAATGAAAATCAAAAGAGCAAGATCGGAGGCAGGAGATTAACGAGGATAGTACCTAAAATGAATGAATTTACTTGGAAGAGAATAACTCGAGTTTAAAAACTGCAGAGTTTAGTAAATTTTTTGGACTTCGCAGAAATGTCCTCTGGCTTTTCATGAGACGACATATGTGTGATTTATACTGATGACATTCGCATAACCGCTATTTCTGTATAATTTACTTGCTACATTATAGCATAACTTTTTCCTCGCAACATTCATGGGAGCTACTCATGACACACCCACACCTACATGACACACCCACCATTTTGCAGTGCGTGTTGTGCTATATTTATTAATAATTTAAATGAAAATGATGAATGACATTTGCCCCGACATTTTCTGTCTCGATGTTCTTGAACTGTATTCAATTATAAAGAAATATCAAGTTATTGTACAGAAAACGATGCTTCAAATCTATGTAAAGGATTGCTAGCAGTCTATGGTTCCGGAAAGAAGGTTATTATCAGAAGGATGAACATTGATTCTTTACTGTTCTCTGCATAATATTTGTTCGAATTTGTGGCTAAAAATACTTCTTCTGTTCCAGAAAACGCAAGAAATTTCCAAGTCCATCATGAGCGACGCGAGTCGCCGGATTGAGAAGCTGCGAGAAGGGAAGTACATCGCGGGCGACTTCGGCTTGGAGATTGTCAAGCCGCCGTGGTTTGATGAAGCGAAGTTCACGCGTGGCCAGAAGCTGTCCAAGGATAACCTGGTATGCGTGTTTTTGGCGGACCTCTTGTTCCTGTTGACTGTCTTCAGCTCACCTCGTATCCTGAGGACGCTCATCTTGACCGGAAAAAGTTCATGCCCGTTCACGGCCCTCAATAGGTACGTGGCCACGATCAGAGCTGTCGTATCCTGGCATAACGGAGACATTTGGAATCCTGAAGATTTGGCTCACAAGTTTCTACGACATGTCATGACGAGTCATAAAAGTTTATATACGATTGCCAATTTTCAACGAAAAGAGGAAGTTGATCGAATCGAAGTTGAAGAAAATCCTATGGTTCAAATTACCGGTATGTATAAAAAAATTCGAGCCTCAAATGAGGAACAATCACGGTCTACTAAATGCGATGGCAATGCCAAGAATACAAATCATATCACGCCCAAAATGAAAATTCAACCAGATTTTGACCAAGCAAAGGAAAGGCCACGAACCTCTTCAAATGTTCAAGCTTCTATTAAAAAGCACAATTTCAGTTTAAGTAATGACGAATTTACGCCAAGTAAGGACACGGCTCGAAAAAGGAGTCAACAGGATCACAATCCCAACTTTTCTTCCAATTATAACCAGGTACCGAGCAGTCGAAATTCAGATTCAAAGATGTCCGAATCTGTCAGGAGTGATAAATCTCCACCAAAAGTGGACGAGTCGATCCCCAATCACAACATCCCGTATGTTAGTCAGTGGGATCTCTTGACCGTCCAGTACGCGTTTATCGCCAGTATAGTTGCGCATCCAGAGGCTTTCGGTGCCTGGAATCTTCCTGATGAAGATGTCGATGGATTTATCTACTACTGGAAAGTTCTGGGCTTTTTCTTGGGTATCCGAGAAGAGTTCAACCTTTGCAGCGGAGACCTCGAACAAACTAGAGCTTTGATTTTAGCGTTTGAGCAAGAGGTGATTTTACCGGCATTCGAAGAGGTTGACCACAACTTCGAACACATGTCATTGGCTCTTATGGGTGGAATTAACATGATGGTACCGCTCGTCAACTACCCCTCTGCCCTAATGTACCTTCTAACCGCCCTCGGTGCTGACACAGCTACGATTTACAAATCACTTACGCTCAGAGAGAAAGCTATCTATCATTTCTTGAATTGTGTGACCTACAGCTGCCGGGTGCGATTAATCAGAAACATGTTCAGCTCATTGCTGGAAATCTGTTTGGATCTGATAGAAGGACATGGGCCCTGGTGGTGGCCGAGAATATTGGCGCCGAAAAACACAATTTCACCAAGAGTTCCATAGAACCATTTTTTTAGCGAACTTGAAGTTTGTATTTATGAACAAGCATTAAATATTTCACATCCTTTGCCATTTCATGTATTCACATGCCTGAGTTAGTTGACTTATGACTTGCCAGACTAAAAGTCGTATCCCATGCATTATTGAATTCTAAATGAAAATTTCATTTCATTACTCTCAAATTTGGGAAAAGAGCTCTAAGTATCATTGAAGATAAATGTTGAATGCGTTTTCTATGCTCGACCATTCAGCGACACCGAATTGGACGATACAAATTCAGAGACTCCGTCCATCAAAATTGGATGTCAGCAACGACGGCTGCGAAGCATCAACCACATCAGTGTAGCTGAATTCTTTTACATAACAGCGATGAATTGCAATTAAATTAAGGCCATGTAATTTAGATTTTACAATGATATGTATAATACTTTTGGCATTAAGGTACTAGCCGTAGCGTAGAGGGTCCTTTAATCGCAAATATTCATAACAAATTTTCTAAGCGCTTATTAAAGTTTCTATCAATGCAGGAAAGATTGGTGAACCAAGTCAGGATAAAGATTTAGATTTAAAATTTAAAGCGATAAGTCTCAAGGTTCCGAAATTCCTAAATTTTACCACCTTCGAATGTTTCAAAACTACGAATGATTAAAATGCTTTAAATTTTCGGGATCCTTTTATCTCGCTATCACTAATGATGATGAGCTTAATAACATGAAGGAAACAAATGAAAAAATTATAAAAGCCCATATGAACGGCTCTTCTAGATAGGCTCAGATGTCAATTAGTCTTATCAATTTTTCTCCTGTCTGCAATAGATGGAAATTAATTTTATTATATGAAGTTTCATTTATCGTATTCGCTCTCAGAAATGAGAGTTATCGCACAGCATCGTCCGTGCATCAGCGATATATAACAATAATCACATAATAATTCTAATTCCTCGAGGAAAGCAATGTAGTTCCTCTTTATTAACAAGCGTTGTAAAAATGTCGCAACGGTCTGTCTGGTCGACGGTAGTTCAGGCTAAGATTAGTTATTTAATCAACCGCTGAGCAATATTTGATTGTTCCCATGGGATAGGGAGATTTTGTAATATAAATATAAATTTTTTGATTCTTCTTCAATGATCTCGATCCCTTTTTGAATAATTCTTCTTCTTTTTAGACAATAACTTGAATGTTTTATAATACAACATTGAAATAGTTGTAAATAACTATCCAAAAATAGAGCAAATTTTAAATTTTTGCAAGAATATGCAAACAATTGTTTCACCTTTAGGATATTTGTATTATCATGCTTAAAGAGTTTGCGCTTAACTGTTAATCTAAAAACTATTTGTGTGATTCACTTTCATGAAATTCTTCTGATTTTACTATTTTAATTAATTTGCCCCGATTCAGTATATCAATTTCTATTAATGATTTAATTCTTTGCTACTGAATCCGGAAAAAATCCGGAGGGAAAAATCCGGTCAAGAAAAAGTCAACGAGCCCGGCCGTAAATTTGTCCGACACGTGAGAGTTAAGCGATTGGTGAACCTTTCATCATTAGTGAGAGAATAATGTTTTCACCATGCCAATGTGTTCAAAAATACGTTAGCTTTGAACGAAAATTAGGGAAAAAACAGTTCTAGGCAATCAATATTCACCCATTATACAATTCCTGACGTTCGTAGCTATGAAGTTAAACTCTATACGGAAAATCTTAGCAATCGCACGAGTGAAACTGAATACAGAAAAAATGAATATACGATATTGCTTGAAAAAGCCATTGATGGGAAATGAGAGCAAAAAATGTGACCAGCTTCTAAACAAAGTAATGAATTTATTGAAAATCTCATTTATCCTTTGAGAATGACCTGCTCCAACCCCCACTTTCCTCGCTTCTCCACGTTGCTGTAGCCAATGAGGTTAGGTTAGGACCGGGAAAGTTTTTTTAGGTGAAGAGTCGGAGTCAGTGCGGAGGTATTACAATGCTGGAGTGTTGCCTGTAAGAAGAATGCTGACATGAGCAATGGCTGCGGGCTCACGGGACCTATGTCTCTGAACACTTTACTTTATTGGTCTCTCAACCCTGTTGCATTACGCACGCGAATGAATATAAAGTAATGGTGGTATTGGTAATTGCTGGCCAATTACATGCATTTCGTCTGATACAGCTCCATTAATACTGACCCGTTGACGTGTACTCTCTATGGTTCTAGGGGAGTTTGCCGGAGATTCCTTTCCCTGTGTAAGCACGCTAGTAAGCGGAGTAGCCTAAGAAGTCAATTGCTCAGCAACCATAGCGCGGTATGTCCACAGCAACCGCTTTAATTAAGCATGTCCAAGTTGAGCATTGCCATACTGCTTCTGGCTTTTAACCTCCACACGTTTCAACATTTCTCCACACAAAACAGCTGATTATTATTATTATTATTATTATTATTATTATTATTATTATTATTATTATTATTATTATTATTATTATTATTATTATTAAAACAGCTGTTATTAAAACAGCTGATAGAGTACGACATTGGCGAGACATGCTTAAATGCCTCCTCATGAGCGATCGTGCTTAAGCATGTACGACTAAATATCAGCGGTGCTATTATCTTAAGGCAGTGAGTCACTGGTCTGGGCATATACTTTCAAAAAAAGTTAAGTGATCGTAAGTTCATCAGCCAATCATTGACGGCCTTTCAAGCCAAATCCACCAATCATAGACAAGAAAATAGAGCGTAGGTACTTACGTTCACTTAGCGAGTTTTGAAATTATGGCCCCTGGAGTCTGGATTATGGTGTTCCAGCGTAATCTGCTGCTTCTAGCTCTGTGGCTGAATAAAGTTTGTTCCCCGCTGAGGCTGGGCGTTGGCTACAGGGCTTATTCAAGTCAAATTTGTGACCCATGGTTGCGCCCCCTAATTAAGAACTTCACTTAACGCAACAGCCGCACGTGCAGAACACCATCAATTGTTCTGGCAAAATCTAGGCATATTTGTAGGAGATGGTTGACAGTCAAGTGATCGTTGGCTGCCCGGGCTTTTCTCGTCACCATTTTTGAAAATGGTGTCACTAGAGCTTCTTTCCACTCGGGCCAGCTAAGTCTTTTCGTACAAGGCGTTTTGAGAAAATACAGTCAAGGGGCCGGCCAGGACTGATGCTAATTCTATGAGTAATCTGGGGGGTGAAAAATTCCTCATGCCAAGCTTATTGACTAAAATTTTTTATCTTCATTAAAAACGAAATTTAGTCAGCTTTCCTTTCGAAATTGGGAATAAATTACTAGTGAAAAAATGATTAAATTGTGAAATTTTCCTTTTCTTGTTAGGAAACATTTCAGAAAAATGTTTTTCTGATTCGTTAAACTATCAGAGCATTAAACTATTATCAGAGCTTGCTAAGGTCAGTTCAACTCTTGGACAGTGCGCCACACCTCGTCTACGATGCAGCTCTTCTTAACGAATCTTAATAACATTCAAACAAATAAAATTTAATATCACTTCACGGCACATTTCTTCCATATATAAGTTCAGAATGTTTCCGCATTATGAGGAATCATCCTAATATAAGTTCATAAGGTTGCTTGCTATAAGACTGCCTCCTCCCAACCGTGGGACAACCTGAGAGTATCAAGATTTTAATCAATACATAAGCTAAATCAAAATATATCTGAAGAACTTCCGGCACATATTAGAAAAAATTCAAATTAAATTCATATGGCGATCAACATTTTTAGTGCACGCTAATTATTTATGATTTAGAAACGAATTCAAATTATACTGCAATGCAAGTACAGACGGAGACTCTAATGGGGATAATAACAACAATTGTAAGTGGATTGTTCGCGCAGCGACCGAGTCATAACATATTGATCTCGGCGCTGAAGTGTAGGCCTGCATGGGGCCATACTTTCAAAATTCGCTAAGTGAACGTAAGTACTTACGCACTATTTTCTTGTCTATGATTGGTGGATTTTGCTTGAAAGGCTGTCAATGTTGGCTGATGAACTTACGATCTCTTAACTTTTTTTGAAAGTATGGGGCTATGGGCCCTGATGCCGCCTGATCATGCAACCAAAATTACGCTACTAGCGGAGATTATGAACAGAAATGCTAGCACGTATAATCATCGTTCCCTCAACAGGGACATGTAAGAAATTAATCATTTTACACCGTTAATGTGTACATATATTCGTGGATACCTTTATAAAATCCATTTATAAGATTTCATCTCATTATAAGTAGGTATGTAAAGTCAATAGTTATAGAGCGCGTCTTAAGGTTATTTGGTTGTTGGCTCCATGCAGTCTTTGCAGCAAGTTAAGAACTAGGAAGGATGCCCGTCATTACACAGTTTGTATTATTATTCATTATTTGCCGTCTTGTTTCTTTTATATTTTTCTTTCTTATTGGGCATTAAGGTCTGCTTTATCTGTGAGGGACTTGCAGAAGCATAGGTAAAATTATATTCATGTGCCATAAGATTGTAATAAACTATCATATAAATTAATAATATCTTCTTATTCTTTCCCGAATTTCTCTGAAAATAAAATGTTTCTGTTGTAGCGATAGGAATGTCGAGCGCTCCATCCTTCTTGATAATTTGTTGGTGGTCCAGTCGCAACTCAGAATTTGCAACCGAAATTTTTAGGCTCTAACAGTAACTACAATTATTAAAAGACAAAAAGTAACTATTTAATTTCCATCTACGAAGTTTCAAGAAAAAAATTGTCAAATTGTGTACTAAATTATCTCAGTGTTAGGCAAATGTATATCGCACAAATCAATATTAATTTGTTAAGCAGTACCTATTGATTTTATCGATATTATAGAATTACTTTGACTTAAAGTCAGTAAGAAATACCACGCTCCTTACGACTTTATCTTAACGTGCATAGCGTTTCCTCAGTGGGAAACGTATCCAAAATAGATAAACGTAAAAAATTATAATTTTTAACATAATTGCTGCAATACATGTCGTCACCACATTGCATTCACTGAACAGCCGCTGTAAACCTGATGGTAATGTTGAACACTAACTATGATATTCAGACCATCAGCCATAGTTTAGCAATAGGCGTCTCTAGACTTGTAGATTAGAGGAATTAAGCGTACAAAATATTTAGGAATAAATAATAGATTCTACATTGAAGTGATGGCATGGGCGTAATTAATCTCTTTAAGCAGAATATAATGATTATTGATTTCAAATGAAAGTTTCGCTGCGGTATCCGGTGTCTAACTCTTGACTATTTTCTGCACATCATTCTTTCGATTTAAGATGAATGGAAATCAACCGATATTTTAAATGCAACTTAGAAATATTCATTTGTACAGATGCACATCCATACAAAATTCTCAACTCATTTATTTCTCAAATGTCAGCATTAGTTTAAAAATAAATTTTCCTTTATGCCTTGAGGGCTATATGGTGGGGGAGTAGAAGGATCTGTCAACATGCCATACTGTGTCTGTCAACGTGTCATAATGAGTCAGTCAACGTCTGTAAAAAGTCTATTACATATTGAGTGGCTGCAATGAAGTGTTGCTATTGTTATTATCTCATTAGATCCCTTCATGGCGTTGGTAACCTTATAGTTGAGTAATTTTAAAATAACTGCGTAGAATATATTCTCGAGTTTCGACGAACTGGCCTTAATTACCCCAATTACCAGTCGCGTCACATCCAAAGATCGGATGGTCTTGTCACGCCCACCAATGACCGGGAATTGTAAGGCACTCCTTTTTTGGCTTAATGAGTAAGGCTTGGGCTAAACGGATTGAAACTCCTTTGACAAGCTTAATTAAAGATAAGCAAATTATAGCAAAACAAATCAGAATGGATAATCTTTTAAAACAGATTCGAAACTAGGAACTAATTAATTTAACAAATCGATTACCCTGAGCGAATATTTTCAAATCGGGCACGAGAGCTATGATAAAGCGAATGAGCGGAGAGAAAGAGAGAGAGCTACAGCAAAGAGTTCTGAGATTGAGCGCTTGGTCCTAAAACAGAAAACAAGAGTAAATACCTACGCATAACGAATCATTTGGTTCACTAAAATCACAGTATTTCATAAAGCATTCAAATCTGACCACTATCTCACGCAACAACTCACCCTGGCGA